AACCTAAAGTACGCTATCTCAAGCGTTTTGCTACAGCAGCCCCACTGCACTTGGTAGCACTTGGAGTCAATCTACACCTGAGTCGTTTCGACTGATCCTCTGTTAGGATGGAGAAATTTTCCTCTTTGCCTAAGGGCATACAGGACGGGCTTAATAAGTTGATGTCCTTGCTTGGCCCTTAGGGCGTGCAACATCTTGTAGCACAAGGCCCCGAGGCAATCGGTGCGCGTCTAGAGGCGTTTTCGAGTTACAAAGCGCACTGCGCTAGAGCACCTGCAAGAGAATATGTCTGCATCATTTGCGTCTATGACCCCACCGTCGGTGACGAATGACTTCCCCCGACCTAAGCCGCTCAGGGTGAGCGTTAAGATCTTTGAGGGGAAGGATGGAGAGAATCTCCTGCTCTGGGTGAGAGAGGTCGAGATGGCCATCGCTTCCGCCATGCTCCAGACCGAGTAACAGCTCGTGGCATTAGCCATCTCAAAGCGCGATGGTCGAGCGCAAGAATGGGCACTGACGTGCGGCACTTTGGTCGGAGCTGCGTTTCCCTCCTAGGCACATTGCAGCTCTCTCGAGTGTTCTCGCCGCCTAATCATGCGTATCGCGTGCGATCGCGTTTCCTTGCTACCCGACAGGGCAACAGGGATTTGGTGTACTTTGTCCATGTGTTGCGAGCTCTCATTGCCGGAATGACAGCAGATCCTCTTTCGAAGGCGGTCACAGCGACCGTGTTTATGGAAGGGCTTCGCACTGGCGTGGCCAGAATGGAAGTCTTCCGTCTGCATCCGTTCTCATTTGAAGAGGCGGTGAATGCGTGTGCGTCCGTTCTCATTTGGAGAGGCGGTGAATGTGACATTGAATGCCGAATTCAATTTCAAGTCGGTGCGACTTTGTTAGAATGCACACTCCAACAGCTCGTGGAGCGGACCTATGCCCTTGGATCTCAGCTATGATGTGGACGAGGGGGCAGAGCTTCGAGCTGCCGGGCAGCAGACACACATTCGACGGTGTTTTGTCTGTGGAGACACCCGTCACCTTCAGAACGGTTGCCCCCTGCGCA